ACATAGAAGATACATGATCATGATTTAACATGAAGTATTTATCAGTTATGAATTCAACCATAGACAAATTCAAGCATAAAATAACCATAAATGGCCAAGTATATCTAAAATTCATCCCCCTGAATTTTTGCATTAGCAAAAGTATCCCCAAAAATAGACTCTCCAAATGTTGCTTTCTTTGAACTATTTCGTTTTCAAATTCAGCATTGATTAAATCATCTTTATCTCTAAATCAAATATGTAAAAGAATTGTTATTTATATTTTATCCAAATGATATATTTCATCAAGAGCTTACTATGAATTTACATATTGCATGATATGGTTGGCTCTTTTGCAGTTGGCATTGCATCCTCTTTAAAAATTTCGTTGTCCAAATATTCAAAATCAAGTTTTTTAGAGGTGGTAAATTTCCAAATAGCAACTATTTTAACTTTATTTTTTAGGTGCAACTTATAATATAATTATGAAAATTTTTTAATTATATATTATGATTCTAGCTACAAATAAATACTTGAAATATAGATAAAGAAATTACATATTCATCAAATTGAGGTTATACCAAATATACACAAGATCATTTAACTTTTGATGCTCAAGATTATGTCTTATCTGTTTTTGACTTTGCTCAAAGTTCTTGCAATTTCGTTTTCATCTGGAGGAAGAAGTTTGATTAAGAATCCTTATGGCCAACTTTTGTAAATTTTGGAGCACTTGAACTGAACATCTTTCAATATTCATCCAAACATTATTAGTTATTAATTAATTTAAAGATGTTAAATGTTCTTAATGTTGCGAGTTATGGAGCGTAGGTTGCGGCGTGATACTAATGTTTCTCAAAATCAATTTGGATTCATGACGGGTAGGCCTACTATGGAAGCCATACATTTATTGAGAGGTATGATGGAGAAATATAGAGAGAATAAGGAGGATCTACATAGATATTATCAGTAGAATTCAAGTTGGATGGTTGAAGTGGAGGAATGCATCGGGCTTTGTTGTGCGATAGAAAAGTCTTCCTCAAACTTAAGGGAAAATTCTATAAGATGGTGGTGAGACCTGCAATGCTTTATGGTGCCGAATGTTGGCCATTAAAAGAGAAGCATAATACTAAGTTAAGTGTTGCAGAGATGAGGATGCTTAGGTGGATGAGTGGCTTGACCCTTAGACATAGGATACAAAATGAGCATTTATGTGATAAGGTTGGAGTTGCTCCAATGGAAGATAAGATTAGAGAGAGTCGCCTTAGATGGTTTGGTCACATTAAATAGAGGCCTTCCGATGATCCGGTTAGGAAAGTTGGGATATTAGATTCGACTTATGTTAAGAAAGGTAGAGGTAGACCTAAAAAGACTTGGTTAGAAAATATTAGAAATGATCTTTCTTTATTAGATTTAAATGATAATTTGACTTTTAGCCTGACACAATGGTGAAAAAGGATTCATGTAGCTGTACCCCACATAGTGGGACAAAGGCTTGATGTTGTTGTTGTTGTTGGTGTTGTAATTAATTTAAAGATGTTAGATGTCATGAATGCAATAAAATTCTTTTTTAGAGCAATTGATTTTCCAATTCTTTCTAAAATATCTATCTTAGAAAATTCTGATTTCATTGATTTCCAATGTTAGTTTATGATGTATATCTTTGTTTTTAATAGTTTTAATTAAATCTTTTAAAATTCCAAGTTTATGATATTAGTTATCTTTATCATATTGTAAATAAGATTTTTAGAAACTCATTAAAGTGGATGCTTTGTCGAAGTTGACCATCCTATCCCTCCCTTGTATAATTTCTTTGTATTTCTAGACATATTTTTAATTACCTTTCTTGTTTTGTCCATGTCATTATAAAGATAACCATCCTATCCCTTACTTGTATAATTTCTTTGTATTTCTAGACATTTTTTATCACCTTTCTTGTTTTGTCCATGTCATTATAAAGATAACCAAGTGATGGCTTCTCATCAGAATTGACCACTCGTAGTAAAAGGCCTTGATAATTTTGATATTATTAAGCAATCACTTTAGAACTTGGATTCTAAAATGATAGTAACATGTTCCCTTTGATGGTTTTTGACAACTTCGAATAGTATAGTACTTGTGACAATTGCTTGTAAATTATGTTTATGCCCATGGATACTCTTCAATGTAATAAAAGTAGTTGCAAACTGAGTTGCTTTTGAATGAATTACTCTTTCTAGCACTACCTTTTTTCACAGCGAAGACAATATGAAGACGTGATTTAAAATAAAAATTATCACATTCAGGTCCTTTTTTGTAAATTCTACGACATGTAGCATATTATCAATGTCTTTTAAAATAAAATTAATGCAGCTTGCAATATATGATGACTATTAAATATTGTCATATTTCTCATGCAATAAATCTCCAGCATTCCCTTAGTTCGTTGCTATCCTATCTCTTAGTTATATAACCTCTTTGTATTTCTAAACATACTTTTAATTGCCTTTCTTGTGTTGTCCATGTGGTCATAAAGATAATCAAGTGATGGCTTTTCATCAGAATTGACCACTCGTAGTAAAAGGTCCTGATAATTTTGATATTATTTTGCAATTATTCCCGAACTTGGATTCTAAAATGATAATGACACATGTTTCCCTTTGATGATTTTTGTTAAATTTGAATTGGCATGATGCTTACTATGATAATTATTTGACAATCATGTTTATGCTCATAGATACTCTTCAAAGTAATAGAAGTAGTTGCAAAGTGAGTTGCTCTTGAAAGCACCTTCTTTCTAGCACGACCTTTTTTCATAGCCAAGACAATATGAAGGCATTAGTAAAAATAAAATTTGTCACATTCAAGGCCTTTTTGTAAGTTATACGACATGTTGTCTATTGATTTGCAATGTTGTTGGTATTACTACGCAAGTGCACGTGTTGAGCAAATATTAAAATTTAAAATAGAGTGTTGATCCCATGAGAAAATTACATCCTACAAATGCCCTTAATACTATTTCCTTAATATATCAAAATTTATCCTGTTAAATAGTGTTGAAATTGCTTTTCTACAAAACTATTGCAATTACTGAAATGATAACTTAATCAAAGAAAAATATTTTGAACTTATGATGTTGAATGGTGCAATATTTTTCTAAGTAAACTTTTTAAAGATATGTTGTGAATCAGAGCATATACACCCTTAGATTTTTGTGAAGCTTGTAAGGGTGTAAAGTAGAATTCTCACCCTACCACAATTATTATCTCCCTAAAATCCTATCCATCCTATGTTTAGGCATGAAAGTTTTATGTTTCAAACATTCTATTTGTTTCGCCATTCCTCTGTTGAGGCAAGGAATCAAACTAAATTTTAAATTCAAATATGGCCATTGCAAGCATTAAATTAATAGCTTGAGGGACTGAAAACGACATTAAAACATTGCTTGTACTTGAGTCTACATAATATAAATATTAATATTTCACTTCATACGTCCAAAACTCTTAGCTAGCCATAGAAATAGTTTCACACAATAAAATTAATCTTGCAAGAGACAAATTAGCATGAAGTATAACATATTTAGATGGCATTACACGTTTTTTAGGATGATTGTGCCCCTGGTTTTATTCTAGAAGCAACGTGATACTTCGTATTGCCAATTTTTCTCTTCCCTTTCAATTTCTTTATAACGTGTATCTGAACTTTGTGAATTTGGAAGAGAAGAAGAACCTGAACTTCTTCAATGGTTTGATCAACATATAAATGTCTCTCACCTTGTCCTTGTTGCTTTTTTAGTTATATATTTTTAAATTTTCTTGCGTCCAATTTTCAAATATCGTGTGATACTTTTTTATGTGCAGCAATATTTCCCTTAACATTACTAAGGTCTTGTTTCATGTTATTAATACCTCTTGCTCTATTTATAGTGACATAATGTAAATACTTAAATTGCTTCTTTAAATTCACTAAAATTGATTCTATGTTATTTTCATTTTCTTATGAATAATTGGTATCGAAATGGTTGGCTGAATCAGATGACTTCATTGTTCATTCTAATTTAAAATATTTGTTTTATAAAAGGACAAATTAAGTTTCAAACTTATAATGCAAATTATGATAGCGATAAAAATGACAAAATAAGTAATTAAAAGTGCAACCCACCCTACCATTGCTTGTAAATATGATTGTAGAATCTATGCATAGTTAGTAACTTAATGTTTAACAATGCTTCAATAGTTACTAGTGCCTTGCTTTAGGTTCAAAGCTTTCGGCCCAATGTTATCTTCCTCCAATTTCTAGGTTAAATCCAATGTTTAGGAGTAGGGTTGTTAACAAAAACCTATTGTGACAACCTCAACCTAAATCCATTTGGGCAATCTCAGATTAAAAGTTAAGTTTTTATAATTTTCTCAAATTCTCTTGACAAAGTATTACATTGCCACATAAATGAGAGCACAAATCATAAGAACATTTGTAATCACGCAAGAAATTAAAGATTGAGAGGAATAAAATTTAAGGTAAATTTTCTCAAAAACTTATATCCTACTGAGAAAAGGAGGAGAATTGCTGGTGGTTCAAAGAGCATACCACGCCGTCTGATGTTTGATGATGATAGAGGTAGGGGGGATGGCTGGTGATCAACTACCTAGGTAAGCGGTGAGGATTAAGTATTTTTGCATGTGAGGGAGTGACGGCTGGGATATAGAAATCAGGATGCGGGGGAGTAGGGTTGGGTTTTCAAATTAACTTATTATTATTAAGTAATAAATTATCGTTGATAAATGGTGCTTAATAGGGCAATCATTTGAACTGGCCGGTTTAAATCGTTTCTAGCCAATGTAATGTGAATTTGGTTCAAAAATCTGCCCGGATCGGCTATGGACTATAATCCATTCCGGTTTTCCAAAGCATGGCTTTCAAGTAATACTTTTAGTGTCTCATTCTTTTTTTTTTTTTTTCTCATTTTTTTTTTTTTTTTTTTTTTTGTAAGATGCAAGTTTTTTAAAGTTTGAAGACTAACTAATATATATATTTTTTGGCAGGGTGAAATTTTAGGATCCTTGTCTGAAATCGATGACCTTACTACCACTTTTGCAAAGGTTTTCTTCTCAAAACTATCTGTTCATGTTTGTAACATTTGGACATATACATATGGTGTATGTGTAGGAGGTTTTCTTAAGGCATTTTTTTAATGCTTATCTTTTGCAATGGCAATTTATGTCTTTGATAAGTTTTTTTCATGGTATTTATTGTTCTATAGTTCTTATTTGCATTTAAGAATATTAGTTTTTGCATGCCAGTCATCCAAACCTTGACAATTGCTAGCAGTATGCATGTGCGCTTATGCAGCATATTCTCAATTTGGATTACACTATCCAAAATGTGGCAGAATTCTCTTGAATAAAATACTTCAGCATTGCTAAGAATTTTCATCAATCTTGTTATCTTCTCATTAAAAATAAAAAATAAAAAATCCAGGGCTGCGTTTTAAGTTTTTATTTTAATTTGAGACTTGTGAGCTTTGAAGTTTGGAAACACTTAATGATGAGGACATCAGTTAGAAATTTCGACACGTATACCATAGGAGGAATCGCAGATCGACGGCTACAATTTGGAGCCTATATTTTTGATGTCATGTCATGTATTATTTTATTTGATATTTTCAGTTTACTATTTTACCCTTATGGGTGTTGAGTCTTTGTTGTAGCTCATGAGGCATTTGAGTCCTTTTGTTTTCTTTTGATGAAACCTATATATAGAGGTCCTTTACTTTTTATAAGGGGATGATGAATAAACAAAAAATTTTCAGATTCTTTGAGTTCATGGTTTGTGAGCTTGAGAGGAAGAGGAGGCATACGACAGGCTCCATTGGAGTACCCAACAGCCACCTAGTTGAGCTCTTGTTTTTTTTTTAATCTTATTTTCCTTTTGCTTTCTTCTTCCCCACCTCACCACCACCACCACCACCACCACCACCACCCTATTTCCTTCCTACGGCCAACCGGCCTCCCCCCCTTTAAATTCCCTACGATTTTTCCCTCCTACCCATCAGCTGGCCATCCCCCTACCCCACCCAGCCACCATACCTACACCCTCCCTCCACCTGCCGGTTTTCCTACCACCACCGCCTCCACCACCCAATAAATCACCCCAAACCGCAGGCCCATCCCATGATTGAATTTTGAATTTCAAAATTCAAACCCCTCATTAACTCTTTCCTAAAATACCTCACCACAAGTAGGAAAGATATTCAATCTTTACTTTGAAATTCAAAACTCTTTCCCTATTATGCAAATTCAATTAGGAAACTCTCCCAATAAATCAATATATGAATTAATTTCATATTTGATTTAAATCAAGAGTTAATCCTATGGGCCCACAATTAATTAGAAAATCCTTAACTTCCCCTTTTGTTTGGCCGACCCCTCTTTATAAATCTGAAATTTAAAATTCAGATTTCCTTAAACATTAATTTCCCCTCACACTTAGCCTATTCCAAAGAGAAACCTAACCCTAGCCGCCCTTTCAGCCTCCCAAGTCATCCTCCATTACTTCTTCCCTCAAAATCTCAAGATTATTCTTCTCCAACCGACGTCACCACTATACATGGACAATCCGGAAGTCGACATTGGCTTCTTATATGATGATCAAGGACGAGCAAACATTCTCGAATCTCCTTTCTTCGACGTGGACGCTTCCGGCTAGTACCTTCTATCAAGGAGCACATTCCTGCCGGGCGTTGGATACTCATTACTCATCTCGTAGATTCCCCGCCACCGGCTACTTCTCCAACGAACTATGCCGTGGGCACCATTTGTCCCCTAGTGGCATCGCTCGTCTTGTTCTCGATCTTCCTCTGCTAAAGCCCCACCATCAAGAGTGTGAGTGAGGGACCCAAGGTGAACAGTTCTATTTGTTAAATCGTGGATTATTATTTCTTTGCCATAACATTACTTTCTCTATTTTATGCTGTTAAATTGAGAGCATCCTGTTAATCTAGTTGTAACCACATGCCTTACATAATTTCTAATTGATAATTCTGAAAACCTAACTTGGGAAAATACAAAGTCTATAACTAGCAAGCTTTAATAATCAAATATTAAACTCCCCAAGCAGGTCTTATTTTCTTTTCATGGTTTCACATCATCTTGGTATCAGAGCATGATTGCTCTCGCATGTGTTAGGTTTCAATTAGAAGTTTCAACTTGTCATTAGAAGGCTTAGCTAGTTATTCTAACATTGCAATTATATCATTTACTACATCGCATGTTTGCTGTCCTTTACAATTCTGTATCATTTAGTGGACTTTGGTGAGTCTAATTTAGTGTTTAAGTGCTGTTTTCACTCTAGAGACCTTCCTAAACACTTAGACAACTTAATTCCCTGTTGTAGTTTGCTGTCCACACAAAAGCTGCTTCATTTAGTTGCGTCAGGAGCATAATATTTGTGTCTTAGTGTTGTCCTTTACCCCATTACCTCCCCTAGTTATCCCCCCAACACCTACCCATGGATCCAGAACAAATTCAGGCGACTTTAGACCTTATTGTTGGTCAATTAGGCACGGTTACTCAACAAATAAGAAACACCCAAACTGATTTGGCGGACTTTAGACGCTAAACTGGAGAACGACTTGATAACATTGAACGATTAGGAAACCCAACAATTTACACCCCTTCTCGACCGCATTAGCCTTATGGTGATGAAACTCGAACCGAATATGGACAGCCTCAAGAGCACTATCGTCATAACCATAGACCCAATCAAGATCTCGTAGGGCACTATACACCTTGGAGAGATAACGTCGCAAAACTATTGAAAACATTAGGATTGATGCTCCATCCTTCGATGGCACCCTAGACCCTCAAGTTTTCCTAGATTGGCTCGAGGGTATGGATAGTTACTTCTGGTAATATATCGGAGGCGAGAAAAGTGCGATTTGCTAAAATGAAGTTGACGGGTAGGGCTAGTCAGTACTGGGCTAACTTAGAACACATGCGCGAAACCCGAGGGGAATATCCAATAACTGATTGGAGGACGGTGAAGAAGGAACTGAAACAAAAATACCTCCCACCGTCATACTACCCTAGACTCTTGGACCGTTGGAATAGGTTGACCCAGGGAAGCAAGCCGGTCAAAGAGTACATTTCTGCTTTTGATGACTTTATGATTAGTTGTAGTGGCGAAGAGACCACCACTCTTGCCCAACTTCTTTCTATGTTTAGAGCCGGATTAAGGGAAGATCTTAGGAATGAACTTTTTGCCAGAGGAGTGACTACCTTAGAAGCCGCTTGTAGTCTTGCGTTAGACCTAGAAGAATCTAGAAGCCATACCCATTCTAGGAACCAAGAATCTCATCCTAATCCTTTCAAATCCTCTTCTAGCCAGCCTCAAAACAAACCCACTGGCCCCGTAACCAGTCGACCAACTGCTGGGTCTTTCCAACCTCGCCCTGACTATAAGGGTAGAAGTGTATAACACCTGAACGAGACACACCTAAAAGGCTAAAACCCCTGCGGGAACCAAATGTTTTAGATGCCATGGGTATGGACACATTGCCTCTCAATGTACCTGCCCCTACAAAGTCACCATCATTGAGGAAGTCGTCGAGGAGGAGGATGAACCGGACACCGAACTAGTTCATCACATTGATGACGACGATGAATTTTTCTGTGAAGAAGACACTGCTGTGTTCCACTACCTCCAGAAGATGGATCACTTAGATCTACAAGTCGTTAGGTGTGCTCTTTCATAACCTAAATTGAGCGACGATTTGCGAAGAACCTCCATCTTCCACACTTTCACCAAGATAGGTGACAAGAACTACAAGGTCATCATTGAAAGTGGAAGCTATATTAATGTTGTGTCATCTGCTATGATCTCTAAGCTTCACTTGAAAACCACACTGCACCCGAACCCTTACAAGGTCGTTTGGATCAACTCGACCGCCTTAGAGGTAAAAGATAGGAGCCTGATTCCTGTTGAATTTGTGGGATACAAAGAGAAGATTTGGTGCGATGTTCTAACTATGGATGTTGGTTAGATCATCCTCGGCCGCTCTTGGTTGTTCGATAACGACGTGCATATTTATGGGAGATCAAACACCTGTGTGTTTGAACATCAAACACCTGTGTGTTTGAACATGATGGTAAGAAGATTAAGCTCCTACCCACACAACCAAAGTCTGCCAAAGAAGATATAAAATCCTCTCCTATGAAACCCAACATGGGCTTAAATCTGTTAACGGCCAAAGACCTAGACGCCGAATTAGGATTATGGTCACCCTTATATGCTTTAGTAGCTCGAGAGGTAGCTGTCGAGCTAGAAGAGCCCATTCCTGAAGAAGTAAAGCCGCTCCTTTAAACCTTCGCTGATGTTTTCCCGGAAGATTTTCCCAACCAACTTCCTCCTTTAAGGGACATCCAACACGTTATTGACTTGGTACCCGGGGCTTACTTGTCCAACCTTCCCCATTACCGCATGAACCCTACTGAGCATGCTGAGCTCAAGAAAGAAGTGGATGAGTTGTTGCAACGTGGTTTTATTAAGGAGAGTCTTAGTCTGTGTGCTGTCCCCACCCTTCTAACCCCCAAGAAGGATTGGTCATGAAGAATGTGCGTTGATAGCTGAGCTATCAATAAAATCACGGTTAAGTATCGTTTCCCCATCCCTCGATTAGATGACATGCTGGACATGATGACCGGAGCCACTTTATTTTTCAAGATTGATCTTAAGAGTGGATACCATCAAATCAGAATCCGTCTGGGAGACAAATGGAAAACTGCTTTTAAGACCAAAGATGAGTTATACGAGTGGACAATTATGCCTTTTGGCTTGAGAGTGATGACCTAAGTCCTTAAACCTTTTCTAGGAAAATTTGTAGTGGTCTACTTTGATGATATTCTAATCTATAGTAATTCGGTGGATCAACATCTAAATCACCTTAAACAGGTTTGTGAGATTTTGAAGAAGGAACGGTTGTATGCTAATCCTAACAAATGCATGTTCCTCACTGATAATGTAACCTTTCTTGGCTTTAGCATTTCCTCCCAAGGTATATCTGCTGACCCTGAAAAAGTGCGAGCAATCAATAAGTGGCTTG